GAGAATCATTTATTGAAAATTAGTCCTCTAATAACCCTCACACAATTGACACAAAAGCAGAGCCAGTGACAGGGAAGAACTATCAAGTGCTTTTAGAAAGCTATTAGGAAGAAGGAAGCTCTTGTATAAGTTTCCTTTAAGCCTTGCACATATGAATAACCCACGCTGCTGCTGTATTATGTGAGTACTTCCAATATTTCCATTTCTCAGGTAACCTGAGGAGTATATGCACAGAAATATGGGAAGAGTGAGGTGTGCTGGAGTGGTCAGATCCATCCATGACTATGAATTATTTATTATTCTTTGTTTTATCAACAATTTGGTATTGGGACTGTCAAATATCAGGAGACAAAAAAGCAGCCAACCCTGTGGAACTGTACAGAAATTAAGGCCTATTCTGGCAATTTCCTACAACTGCTCTCTTGGAAGTTGTCAGTACACAGCACAGATTTCCTAACTTTGGTCATGAGTGTTGTTTCTTGGACTTCCATGGGACTGCTGTCAATAGGTACTAACTCTGTGCATGAGGTATAAGCTAAATACTAAGTATTGAAAATTTTTCGTAAAAGGGAGAATTCTTACGTACTTCAGCTGGAGCCAGTTAACCCACTGCATCTTAATGGATTATTTTCTCTACCAACCTCAAAAGACCAAAATAAGCCTTTGTTTCTCTATAAAAATGCAGGCCTTGTTAAACATAGATTACTGACTTTAAATCCCACAGTGCTGCTGCAGAAGTATAACTAGCACAGTTTCCAAAGATTTATTATTTTTTCAGCATTTTGTGCCAATTTTTTTTCCTGAAAAGTTGAATACTTTAATTTCAGAATCCAAGTTGTATGTAACACCCAGATTCACTGAGACCTCTTGAGGTTTCCAAAGAACTACTTGCCTATTTTCCTAACTAAGTGAACATATTTTCTCTTTCCTTTTCATTTTCAGTTTGTGAATGAGTTTTCAACAGTTTTCTACAGCAGAGAGAAAACTTTTTAAGGCAACCAAATGCACTAAGCACATCTCATATTTGGCATATTTTTAAAGCTCTAACAGCTATATCAGAGCAATAAACCCTTGTTTCTTGTTTTATAAATGGGTGAAGTCCACCCTTAAAACAGAGTGCAGTTTTTTACTGTTATTTTAAGAGTGATGTCCAGAAGAATCAAGGTTCTCAAAAACACAGTCTGTCCAATGGAACTCTTGCTTTGTCTTTGCTCTTCTCAATAATTTTCAACTGCTTGTGAGTGATGTGACAGAGGCAGAAGTCACAGAGATAATGAGCTTCCTGCAAGTGTGGTAAAAGTAGTGCAGCAGATGAGAGTGTTTTAAACATGGCACCTGTAAGTACCACAGCCAAAGGACAAACTGCACAAGCTCACACAGTTGAAACACAAGAGAAACCATATGGGGGAGACACTTGTAAATGCTCCAGCAAAGACAGAAGCTGCAACCAAAAGTGCAAAGCATTCAGCCTGGGAAAACAAACTGCATCAGCTCCAGGATTTCTTAGAAAAGGGCCCCTCCCTTTTACAGTGAGACTATTATCAATGTCTTGAACGGGAGCCAGACCAACTCCCTAATTTGTAAATTGTAACACAAGCATTATTTTCTGAGTGAAAGCTCATTTACAGTTATTAAAACAAAAGAACACTCTATCTCCTTATAAGGCTACACTGAAAACAACAATCACAATAAAAATGAAAATGTTCAAGTGAATTTGTATGTGTGGATCATTCAATTAAACCTGACCCCGGTCTTGGGAGGGAATCATTATGACAACTGCTTTTTTCTTCTTGATGCTCCTTATAGAATTCCACTTACTTCCAAACCTTTCTCCCTGTGTAGCCTCCCTCTTTCCCCCTCACCTCCTGCTTAGTACCATTTTTCAGCCTGAAGCTCAAATACCTCTACCCTGCCTAGGTAAAGAAAGTTCAGTGCTCTGAGGTTCCTGCTAGCCCACACACCTCGGGGAGGAGAATGCAATCAGAATACATGAATGTGCCAGGCTCAAAGCTTTGCCTCAAGCGTTTTGCAAGATTCATCATACTCATTTGTTCTCTTCCCCCTGTGCTGATCAGCAGAACCCTTCCAGGCTACAGGGGGGGCAGAAAAAGAGCTTAGGTCAGGGAAAATGAAATATTGCTGCTACTGTGATGCCAAGAAGTGTTTACTAGGCAATGAAGGAAGCCTTAACCAGCTAGGCTGAGCATGCTTTTAACTGGTCCTTCCAAAGGATAAAAGCAACCAACTTGTCATGACAGAAACTGAATTTCAGACAATTTAAAAATGGTCATAATGAGTTGTTTTTAGGCTAACATCTTGTATATATTCAAATATTTTGAAAACAAATTAAACTCTTGCTAGTCCTGATGTTTTCTATACTAATGCATATACATATCCCCAGAAGAAACCTCAGCAAGAAAAAACAATCTGTGTGCTTCTATCCACAAAGAAGTGCAAGAGACAAAGTGATTGCATAGTTATCATGTTGCTGTAGAAACCCCAGTAGAGTATTCTTTAACTTTGTGAGTGATTAAAATATACACTTTAATGCTGCAATAAGAAATTAAGCACAGATGAGCAGAACTAAAGTGAATACAAGTAATCCCAAACACTGTGGGACCGGTTTTCCTTAGCACTGGAGCTCTTTTGTTCTTATAAACAAAAACCTTAAACTGCTAAAGTTGCATTTTGCACCTTTTGAACAGCTTGGAGGCTGTTAAAGGAAGGAACACTGTTTACTGGAGGTACACGGGATTCCGCCTGGGAAGCAGGAAGCATCGTCTTTCTTTTAGACTCTAGTCACAACGAAAAGTTGTGGAAATACAGATGTGCTCTCCCAGAAACCAAATTAACACATTCCAGACAAAAAAACTGGAGAGGAGAAAAGGTCCTATGGAGATGTGAATTTGCAGACTCACACTAGTGACAAATTGCCAAATAAAGGGTGTGCACTCCATCAGACAGAACTGAACTTTACAATATATGAACAGCACAGATTAAAATCAGAGGTGAATTAAAAAATAATTAATCAAAACTAAAAGCTAAACACTATGATACACAGAAGCAAAAGTAACTGACAGCCATCCCGGTGGAAAAAGGATGATCAGCTCATGCAGACCTCGGCAGTGGTTGGGAACAAGCAGATTACTATTCAGAGCACATGGGGCTTGGATAATGCTAAACCCTCGAAGACATTTCACGGCATTTGTTTCCAGCCCCTTTGTTCCCCGCTGACACGTCTGGGGATCTCTCCATCCCTCTGCCGCCGCAGCCGCCCTGCGGGTCCGTTTTGACCCTCTCGCCCCGAAGCTGCGCTCCCCCAGACCAGGCTTTGCCCGGGCTCCTTCTCTTTGTGAGGCTGTCGGAGGTCGGGGGAGACAGCCGCGGGCCGAGAAGGTGGCTGGTAGGGGAGCCCCAAGTGCGAGAGAGAAGTGGGGTGAGCCTGCGGGGCTGCGGCGGGACCGCGGGCAGCGCAGAACCCGAGGGGCAGTGCAGAACCCAGGGAGTGGCCGGAGAGGGCGCGGGGAGACACGGGGGTGCCCGGGCGGCCGCTCCCCTCCGCGCTGTGCAGGCTGCGGCAGGTAGGCAGGCGGCATCGGCGGGGCTGCGCGGCTCCCCGCGCCCCGCTCGCCCTGCCCCCGCGGGAGGGGTGTGCGGCGAGGGGGATTAGCGGGAAGCCGCGGCCCCGCCTTCCCCCCTCGCATCCCGGGCGCGATGAGAGGGGGAGATGGACCCGAGTCGGCGGGACTGGCACCATGACATTGGCCGGCTTCGTGGTGGCGCTGGTGATAGGGACACTGCCCGGAGCCCGCGGGCCGGGGCAGGTCTCCGCCAGCCTCCCGGCTGCCCGCCCCTCGCAGCCCCCCGCCGGCTGCCCCGCCGGGGGCTTCCCCGCGGCCCAGCGCCCCTGGGCACCGGCGGCGGCCGCGCTGCCGCGGCGGGGGGCGGCGGGCCGGGCGCCGCGGGGCCGCCGCAGCTCCTGCGCCGTGCCCGGCGCCGAGGGGCGGCCCGGCTGCGCCCCCGGGACCGGCCGGGGCCGCGCCGGCTGCGAGCGAGGTGAGTGCGGACGGGGCGGCGGGGAGCGCAGCGGGAGGGTGCGCGAGGTCTGCGGGATGGGGAGAGACTCAGAGAGACTGAGAGAGCCTTGGCCGGGCGGCGGCGTTCTCTTCTCCCATCCTGGACCCGGTTCCCGTCGCTGAGGGAACGGGGAACGGGAGGATGGGCACCCTTTGCCAACGTGACAGCCGAAGCTGTTCCGAGAGGAGAGTTAAACTTGTGCATTAGCGGATGCAGCGGAAGGACCAAGGTCCCACCTGAGGTTATTCCGCCGCAATTTTCTAGTTGTGAGTAAATCGCGTTTCGAAGCTATGCTGTGACTGTTCAGCTAGGCTCAGTTAGCCAAGGCTGGCTGGCATTCCCTTCTTTGTAACCGGGTGCACTTCTCTGGGAAGTGCTTGGTCTACAGAAGTAGACCAAGTGGCAGAAGGAGAAGCAGAAGGATGCTTTGCTCTAAAGGCGATCTGCTCACACATTATTTCTGCCTTTTTTTACCCCCCATCTTGGGGTTCACGAGTTAGCGATGGTGCTCGAGGACATCTGTGAATGGAGCCAAGAGACCTGCGCTCCCTCCCCACACACTGCCAGCTGAACTCCCCCTGACTTCAGGGGAAGTTTTCAGTGTGTAAGGACTCAGCAGCAATTTCAGCATTCAGCCCTTGATCAGCTTTACATTTCATCAATATTGACATTAAATGTATATATGCACAGTCTGGCTTTGAATGACTTCACATTTTCTCCTGCATCACTCTGATATTATCTCCCATCTATATATCCTATCTATACTAAAAATAATCAACCCTAATCATTGCAACAAAAATTAAAATTCCCTGCTTTGTTGCCCTTCCTTTTATATATTTTGTAATAGCACAAGGTCAGCAAGGAAGTTGATCATTAATATTTTTAATAATAATTTGTTCTTGTGGAACTTAAGTTTCTTGTGGTTTTTTATTAATTTGATTTCAGATTACTGAAAAGGATTGTTATGTTTCTCTTCCAGCAATAGCCATAGAAAATGTGTGAAAAAAAGATGATAACTTGAACAATGTGATAATTATACAATTTGGTATAAAATATCACAGGATGAGGATATGGAGGCACCAAGGTCCATATTGATCATTTACACATTAAAAAAATAGTAGCTTGTAAAGCCATGTTCCAAGTGAAATGTTGTACTCCTTCCAGAAGATAGAATGATGTTATGCAGTACAGATGTTTCCCTAGAAAGAATACAAGGCAGCTGATGGCATGGAAGAGAAAACAGATAACTAGACACAGATGAAGAATAATCCAGAAGACTTCATGCCCTTTAACTGGTCTCACTTTTGAAAAGGGTCCCACAGTTCCTTTTCTAAATTAGCCCAACATATTAATAGCCTTTTTCAGAATTCTTCAGTCTGGTTACCAGAATACTTTGTGAGGACTTGGTCTAATCTAATAGCGAAGAAGAACACAGCAGATTATTGCTAAGAACCCAATCTTGCACTTCCTAAAGTAAGTTAGTTAGCTCCAGAATCCCCTGGATTCTACAGAGGAACGTGGAAATAAATCAAGCTATTTCCCCAGAAATAAACATTATTATAACATTTCTCCTGAAGTAGGTTCCTTTCTTGTAAGAAGCAAAAAAATGCCAGTAAGGCAATGTTAGGATGTGGTTAATAGCTAGGGAAGGTCAGACTGACCTGCTGTTTTAGTACCTGGGCTGAGGAAGCCCACCCTTGGTATTAGGCACCTGCAATAATGGAATACAATACCATGTTCAAAGGCTTAACTGCAAATCTCCAGGCTTTTCTAGCTTAAATATTAAGACTTACCTGCAAAGTTAATTGGCTACACTTTGTGCATGTGTATATATTAAACTGCTTTATATTTAAACATTAACAATGAAAAACTAAAAAGCAAAAGCCTCTTTGCAATTAAACTACACGGTGCCAGTCTAAAATCAGTTTCATAGTTTAAAATAATAGATTTTGTTGTTTCATATCCTTCCTTCTATAATGAGGAGACATTTGGGTAATATTACCTATTCATGCCTTGATAGCAAGTAAACCAAATACAAATATATATAAAATATCATGATTAACCAAGGAAATGTTAGAGGAAAATAAATGAATACAAAAGTGCTCTCTACACAGAGCCAGCATAAGTCCAGGAGAATTTAGTATTTTAGTTACTGCTAATAACAATTTACCTATAATGTACTCAGGCTTCAAGAAAGAGGCCTAGTTCAGTACTTGGAAGTAACTTCTGCCACACAATGTTTGTGTGGCATGTACAGTATTCTGCATGATATGTTCATCATGCTGTGTTGTTACAAATGTAATTTAAAGCTTTTCAAGTAAAGTGGGTTAATTATTTTCCTTTCTATTACAAAGACGAAACAATACAAGAGAGGGTAAGTGTCTTTGCCACAGATCAGTGGCAGAACTGGAAATAAAGTTCACATCTCCAGAAGTGCCTGATTGTAGAGCCTTTCCATTTAAATTGCTTTTATCACAGGGTAATTCCACTAATGCCAATCAAATAAGGCTTCACTGAACTTGTGTGAGAGAAGAATCAAGCCTCAGGCTCGTAGTCTGGACACTAATTATTCTTCCTACCTGTTATTCTATAGTCCACGGAAGTTGATGGAAGGCCTTTTGAGGTTTTGGCTTTTTTTAATAGCATAGGGTTAAAGGAAAAAATATGATGAAACTTTAACACAGGTGTCCATATTTTCCTTCTAAGAAGCAGCACCTCTGGAACCCCTCTTACTAGGGCTGCACAGCATGAGATCCCTCATTTTCTCCAGCTCTGATCACTTTAGTTTTTCAGAGCCTTAAACCATTGATTGCTGACATGATGGATTTCACTGCTGCAGAGGAACCAATGCAGCACATTACACACTCAGTATATACAATATTTATGAAAGTTCTGATATAAGGATCCTTGATTATGCAATACTGCTATCTGCTGAAGTTCTCAAGATAGTTCTTAAAAAGTACTTCTGATGGATGCACTGTTTTTCAAGGTTAAAATGCCAGGGGGAAGTAATTATAACAGTGATAGACAACAGCGTACATTGATCGCACTGAGCATCATCCATAGTTTTGCTGAAGTCAACAGGATTAATTTCTTTGATTTTAGCCTGATCCTGGGAGGGAAGAAAAGCTTCCATTGATCCGAACTGGTGTTAGATTTGACCTATACCACAGGTAGCTTTTTACAAGTTCCCCAAAGAAACTGATGAATTAGTTTCATTCTGAAGCTGGGATAGACTCTTGTATGTATTATGAATCATCCACTAGTGTTCTAAAATACTACAAGTTACAATGTAGTTACATGGGATATACAGCACGTGTCAACGGGAGACCCTCACACTTGATGCCAGTTTGGACTTACCTAATTGACTCCAAGGCAACGGAGGTGAATTGCAGATGATCAGTGCAGGGCCTTTCTGTGGCACTATCCCATGTTGGAACACCTTGGAAATTAAGGCAGAAATAAAAATGTTTGTTGCTTTTACAGATTTCCAATATTCAAAATGCTTTCTGCTTGGCTTTAAATCTGCCATTTCAGAGCACACCACACCGGGGTGAGAGGCACAATTTCTGCTTCTGATCCGTTTTCTCAATTTACATTGACAGCCAAATTGCAAACCTTTGGACACAGGTGTTTACGAAGGAACTACTGGCACACCTTTAGCCAACACCATAAACCCCACTTGCAACACAAGTACAGCAGAAGTGAGAGTGATTCCCATTCTGTTTGCAATTCAGCCACACATAGTAACAATGCTTGTTCCCAGTGGAATGTAAAAAATAAAACAGGGTTTGAAGTTACCCAGCATCTCTGGACATGAGAGATTCTCTCTCTGGAGAATGGTATAGGAAAAGAGGCCAATCACAACAGTACAACTCCTTTGAAGCTCCTCTGCTTTTTGGAGTTAATTAAAAGTTGGCTGAGTGGTTTTCCTCTCCCTTTTTTCCTGGGTGTCTCATCTTGAGCCTATATAGCAGGTGTTGCGGAGCAAGTCTCAGCAGCACCCACTGGATACCCTTACTTCCTTGCATTTGCAAGTATAACTTAATCTCCTTTAAACAGTGATAGCAGATAGGAAAGACTGACTTGGGCAGATACCAGGACAACTAAAATTACCAGACTGTATGTAAACAACATGAATTGACTGGCAGTAACCTCAGCTAGAACACAATTACAAGAAATGCATACACATTTTTTTTTAGTGTTTATAAATGAAGGAGTTGCTGTCAGGACAGTAGATTTGTATTTTTTAATATAAGGCTGAATTAAGTCTGTCTTAAGACCACAGTGTGTGTCCTAGAGCTGCCTAGCAGGCCTGCTTTGTGGTCCTGCACCCCTGTTTCTAACTCTTGTGGGGTCAGTTCACCTCTCCTCATCCTCCCTCTTCCTGACCAGTGCTGAGGAGGGCAGAGAGCCGTGGGCTGGATCCCAGTGCTCCCGTTCCCTGTTGTTGACCTTGGTGTTGAGGCAGTGTAGGTTTGATAAGCACTTTAAGGAACAGGCTTGACATTGTACTGAGTTGATGGAGAGCAGAGTAGATACTACTGCATTATCTCCACCGCCACCATATTTAGTTTTCTTCAGCAATTAAAATAGCTGAAAGCTTATAGGTTAAACAACTGAGATGCTACTATACCTGTGACTCCAGAAACCTAGAGCCTCCAGTGCATACATTTAAACCAGACCTGTTTGCTAAAAGGTACTGAAGGTGCTCTGTTGCACAGTTCTTGTGCCGTAGGGGCAGCCCAGAAGGAAGCCCCTCAGGCACACCTGTCAGGGTGTAGTATAGGCTTGAGATGCTAAAATCTAACAGCAGAACACTTAGCCACTGAAATTTAAGAATTAACCAGTATCTTTTTAATCATACTAAATATTAGTTTTCCTGCTGCCTAAAAAGTGAAAAAGTGTTTCCTGGCCATTTTACAAACACTGACTATCTTGAAATTAAAATACTAACACATAGATAGATACTTGGTAATACAGCATAAACATATACAGCGGCAGATCAGGCTGATTTCCTTTACACAGGAAACACAGATCTGTGTTTTATTATGAACTAAGAGTTTTATCTGTTGGAAAGGAAAACTAAACTACTGTAATGAAAGTCCAGATTTTAAAGCTCTGTTATGTTTTATGAGGTATCCCTGCTACTGTAGCTAATGTATCTCGTGATCTGGTAGTATAACTACCAGCTGTCTGAATACCATAACATTTTGAGTAAACAACAGAGAAATAATTTTCTCATTAGTGTGCCCTTTGATTTGTTTGCTACCTAATTATGACTTGTCATATGATATAGGTTCATACATACTTCAAAGTGCATATACCATATATTTGGTTACCTCTATTAAATGGCAGGTTTAATATTAGTTACATGTAAAAATAGGGTTTCTTTTTATTTCTTTCTAGATTAACTTATCAGGTAAAAATCAATATTTTAAATTAAATGATGAAATACTTTAAATTTACCTTTAACAATTCCCTTCTATGTTTTGCTCTATGTACATGAATAAATTCTTCCACTGCTGTCATTGGGAATTGTGTAAATACAGAAGGAGGACTGAGCCAAATTCTGCCATGGAGAACTTAGAAGAGAATTTTATTCTTCAAGTACTCCCTTACTCAAATATTTGAATAGAAACATTGTGTAATGTGTACTCAGGAAACACTGTATTGATTTCAGTAGGTGTCATGCAGGACTGTAAGCAATCATGCACTAAAATAAACTTATTTTTGGAGATGACATCTTCAAACTTGCTTTCTGGTATGTCAGGAATCACTTTGCTATGACTGCAGTTGATGTTTCAAGTGAAAATAATAGTCTACACAAAAGTCTGTTGAAGAGCAGAAATAAACAAAATTCCAGACTCTCTGTCTGTGACACATACAGAAAAACACAGAGAAAAATTGTAAAGACAGATAAATGATGTGCAACATGTCTACAGTATTGTTATAACTGACTCAGTAGTAATCCTCTCTTTGAAATGATAGCTCACTCTGTAACATGAGTTGAATAAATGTTGCTTGCAATTTACAGCACCGTAAGTTACTGCTGAGAAAGTAAACAGGAGGCAGAAAGGAACATGCAAAACCAAGTTTGAGGTTAATTAATTCCTCGAGTTATCTGGCAGTCGTATGGCTTCGTGGTTTTATAAAATATACTGAACTAAAACCAGGACACAAGCTGAGGAAAAAAAAGTGGATCTACCTATTACTGTTATTATTTTCCCAAACATTAACACATATACAATGAAGTGCAGGCACAAACATTGACTGTTTCCTCCCACTGGTAAAGCTCCTGCAAACTGGATGATGGTGTACTTTCTAATTTTTAAGTAGATCACAGAACAGAGGCAGATGGATTAACTGAGATTTCAGGCAATACTAATTCATACAGTTAGGCTATGTTTGAAAATTTAACAGAAATGTATTTTTTCTTGTTGTATTACTGCTCTGTTAGGACTCTGTTCTGCTTCTGTGGAGTTACACCTAGGAGCAGCTTTTGCCCACCTTAACCAGTGGCCCTTGGCTGCCTTCAACAGCACATGCATCTGGCATCCCAAGTAAAACTACCGTAATAGAAAAATGCAACATCTGCTAATTGTCTTGGATTTCTGTGTTCTGCAGCTCTCAAGAAGCAGACTTTCTCCCCCACACACTTATTTTAGACAATTCCTTATGTTTTTAGCTTGCTTTGTCTGAGAATTTGCTAAAGACTTCTCATGAATTAATAGAACTACATCCAATATTTTTCTGTCTGAGAACAAGTATGAACAAATGCATTCTTTGGCTAAAATAAACTGCTGACATCTAATACATGCATTATGTTACAGGGGTCAGAGCAAGAGCTATGCAATACATGTGGTTGTTTTCTGATTCCATTAAGTTCAACGGAATTTTGTGAAAGATAAAAGTAGAGCATTTATATATATTTGTGTATATATATATATATACACACTTTTTGCTCATTTGGGTAGAGGAAATCACATTTAAATAACTACATGTAGTCTATATATACTTTTTTTTGCTAGATTTTTAGCTAAGTTGTAGCATCAGAAGGTTCAGAAATATAATTTCTGAAAATAAGAAGTAAAATGTTAAAAATAAGGTTATCTCCTCTTATGTATCACTGTATAAGGATGTTAGGTGTGCCAAAGTGTTTCTTGGAATCAGCTCACTAATACATGACACAGAAACTCTGTCTGCAGAGGGAAAATGAGATTTGGAGTCTTTCATGTGGAATACATTAACTGAGCAATGGAATATCTTGGAGGTTTAACCGTTTTGTTTTGTTTTGTTTTTTTTTAACTAGGGTCAGTGAGACTCCAGGGTGGCAAGAATGAGTTTGAAGGCACAGTGGAAGTTTATTTGAATGGAAACTGGGGAACAATCTGTGGGAGCCATTGGGACAATAATGATGCAACAGTTGTATGTCGACAGCTTGCACTTGGGTAAGTTTCAGAGTAAAAATCAGTCAACTTATTTTTAATGTTTCAGTATAGAGGACAAACTATTGTGTTAATCCTCAGGGCTTTTTGTGTTTGATGGTTGCTTTTTCTGTTTGAAAGTTGCTGAATGCTGAAGTTGTTCTCCCCAGAATCCTTCGCATTACACTTCAAAGAGGTTGCTGTGATAATCCGTATTTCATCAGAAAGCTGCATATGGCACCTGGAGAGGAGCAGTCCAGGGCAGATGCTTTGCTTTCAAAGTGAAATGTGTGAGCAGGTCAGAAAAGCTTAGGGCAAACAAAAACTGCTCTCCTAGACATGTGGGAGATGTCCACAAGGACAGAAATTTTTGGTCTGATCCTGATCCCACATATGTAAGTCTCAATTAGGAACAGTGAGGTTACTGAATCAATAACAATGTAAATTTGGCCAGAATTAGACCCTACATGGGCTTCTAATCATAGGAAAATTCCTGGTTCTCAGGACCCTGGGACTACCCTAGTAATCATCCATTCTATCCTGCCAAAAAACATCTGAGACTCATCCTAACTTTGTCGAAAATGGCAATATTTTACAGCTATAGCAATATTGGACAGGTTGAAAATCTCTGCATTGTCCTCACTGAGCTGCTTCTCATTGTTGCCATTAATCAACAGGACACTTGAACATAATTTGTCTGGCTTTATTGCCTTTATAATATTTCTTTCACTAGCACAGCAAAGCAGTGAATTTGCTTGCTAGAAGCAGTAAGGGGCTTTTAGAGCAGACTTGCACTGCGACATTCCTCATGATTACCCCACTTTTTAAGACTGCTAGCCAGAACTAAACCTAAGCTGGTTTATAATGTTCAATACTAATCTGGACACACCACGCCAACTTATAAAAATATGAGGATTAGATGAGATAAAAGTTCAGCCATCTGGAGGCTGTGATTTTGCTTATGACTTCAGCTGTCTACGTGCACTGTCTCCCTCCTCATTTTCATCTAAGTTCTTTCTGCTTCCATTCCCTGAACGTTCAGCTGAATGAGAGTGCTCTCAGCAAAAGCAGATCAGCAATATGGGTGAGTGGTTTGGTGTTTTCAACAGCAGTGGGTTAAAACTGAATCCAGGCCAAAAAGCCCCAAGCAAACAGGAGCTGAAAGTTCCTGTTATCATGAGTGTCTGGCAGAAATTTGGATCTAAGTACTGCCAGGTGAACTCACTATGTACTACTGGTGCTTTTCAGGTGCTTCCATCCATCTGTTCCTTTGATATTACAGTATTTGGGCTTTGTTTTAATTTTGTTGGGCTTTATATGGAAGGAAAGATGGCTCCATAAATGCTGCTGTAGATTTGGTATGGGAAGGAAAGGGAGCTGTTTATAAACGTTCTGGATGGATGGGAATGGCTGAAGAGAGAATGAACATGAGCCTGATCTAATGGGATATGAGGTGGTTCCACTGTCCCATCATCACAACCACAATATATGACATATATGGGCAGAGCATTGGTATGTTTTCATGGAGTAAAGGAGAGGATAAGGGTGAAAGGTGGCATTAACTCTCCTGGAAGTGTAACTGCAGGGCTGGTCCTGTACATTCACCTGTGGACTCTGTTGATTTTTGTAGTTCAGAACTGAGAGAACAGGAATGTAGCTGGCCCAGCAGCAACACAATCATTGTACTAAAATATCCCACAACAAAATGGTGAGAACTGGGTCACATCTGTTACTTTTCTTTGTGCAGAAGACAATGCTGAACTGTATGAAAATGTGATGAATTTACTCTACTGAAGAAAGCCCTTTCTTTCCTACTCCAACATTTATAGATGAGAAAATGTTCCCACTTCCCTTCCTCCCACTCTTAATATCCTATCCTGATTATTCTCCTTACAGTGAAAAAGGTACAGCAAAACACATACCATTTTCTGGACTGGGCCTTATTCCTGTTTTCTGGAGCGAAGTGCGTTGTCGTGGTGATGAAGAAAATATACTGTTATGTGAAAAAGACACCTGGCAGGATGGAACATGTCCTCAAAAAATGGCAGCTGCTGTCACATGTAGCTCCTCCCTAGGTAAAAAAAATACATATGGTTTGGTTAACTCCTTATGTTATTTAAATAGAAGAAGTAGTAATTACTCTTATTAAATTAAAAAAATTAAATATTAAGATTTCTTGGAAGAGAAAATTAAACAGATTGAATCACCACATCATTAGCTGTTTCAAATACCTCTATGCTGTGCAAGCAGCAACTAGCTTAACAACTTTTTACCCTTCCATAATCTACAAGCCAGTTGCTGCTTTGATATGTAGCTTGTGAGAAAGGGTGAAGTAGGGTGTAAAAGTACGATTGTATCTCCTCACGTTTTTTTAATAGGAAAAAAGTATTCTTAATATTTTTAAGATATTTCAGATTATTTTAATCACCGTGCTAAACAGCAACTAAATGGCCATCAGATTTAAGATGTTGCTGGCCTCGAGGAAGGCTGGGCTGGCAGTGCTGGGGAGCTGGCAATGGCAATGTCTGCAGCTGTAACCAGAATGTGTGTGGCTGCAGCCAGTTCTGTGCTGCCTTTCCTCTCCTACTTACATTCCTATCCAAAGGCAGGTGCATTTCTGTCCTAAAGATCCCCTATTAATGAGTAATATTTTGATAAATTACTTTTAAAAGAACATTTTGGTCTTAATTTAGGAAACTGTAGAGTAGAGAGAAGGGAGAAACTTTTTAAGCTATGAGACAAGTTGAAGGACCAAAGCAAGAGAAATAGTTTTGCCTAAAGAAACTGAAAACTATAAATGTTTTCAAGTTTTGCAGGTTCTACTGCAACCAGCCTTTTTGAGTAATTGCAAAAAGCCCCAGATTTCATATCAGTGAAACAGTAACATGCCCTCAGTTTTCTTTTTTGAAGCCAAGAAATAGATGAAATAGTAGAATTAATTGGTTGGAAGGCTACACAAAAATTATTCATATTTCAAATTGTCCATATGTTAGATTTGGTGAAACTTTAAAAAAACCTTGTTAATATTAGAGCAATTGTGGGGGTTCTATATGGTTTTAAGCTGTTTCCATTATTATAGCTTTGTGCAGAAGTGATGCTTTCAAGACAGTTTCCTGGTGCACCAGAAGAGAGTTACTGATTTGAAAAGACCAGAAACAGGAAGGGAACAATACGTGGGCAATTGAAGTGAGACTCCAGTTGAGGGTATTTCACTGCTCTGCCTGGAATTACCAAAGGAATGAGAAAACAGGAGGATGAATTACTACTTCCATGTCAATGAATTAATTTCTGCCTCTTATTTCAGGTTTTACCCTCTGGAAGCAAGCCTGTACAGAGGCAATTTTGCTCTTACTGGTAGAAATGCAGCTCTACAGACTGATGTAGTATTTGGCCTTACAGCACTAAGTGTCTGTGAATGCTCTCACACGTAGGTAATTCAAGATCAGTATAGTTACCTGTCTGTAATATTCTTCAGCTAGTGACAGCAGAGCTGAGGAGAACTCATTTCTAAGAAGTTTAAATTCAGGTTTTCCATCTAACTAGAAATAATAAAGTGTGGTTCTGGAGTGATATCAGAGAAACCATTAAGCATCTTCCTTTTTCTTTACTATTGGGATTCTATTTTGGGAACTAAATGATCTTTTCCATATTCTGTGTTGGATCACAGCCCCCATCTTTACTCCGATCCGGCTGGCTGGGGGGAACAACGCCCACGAAGGAAGAGTAGAAGTCTACCATGGTGGCCAGTGGGGGACAGTCTGTGACGATCAGTGGGATGATGCAGATGCTGAAGTTGTCTGCCGGCAGCTTGGCCTTGGGTTTGTTTTTCTACATGGTTTTTACTCCAGCAGCAAAGCAGGAGAGTTATCACAAACACAGCTGAAGCTAGGACAAGCGTAATTGTAAAAAATGCTCCTTTAAAATTGCACTAATATACTATGGGGCAGTCACTAAGTTTATTTATAGAAGGTTTAGGTACAGTGCCATTACTTTTAATTCCCTGGAACTCTGATTTACAGGATCCAGTTTTCAGTGTCATATGATAGGGACAATTTAGTCTGTAGGACAGACAATAAATGTGTCTCAGAATAAATTTGACTTTTTAGTGAAAACTCACAATTCCTGTAAGGTTTCAACCAAAACACATAGGTGATGAAAAGGAATTTGGCTTGACTGTTCCAATCCTTACAATCCGTTTTACTGAAGAGCCTGACAGCCTCCTTGCAGCCTCTTGACAGCATTAGAGTGCTGCTTTGTCAGAGAGGATGTGCTTTTTTGGTGTACCTGTGAGCATCTCTCAAGATTTGTTTAAATCATGACTCTCTGAAGATTGTCAGTTTGCATTTATTGAGGTAGAGACCTTCTGAAGTTTTGACAGTTAAGCCTGTCAGTGATTCTGTCTGAACTGAGCATGGGCCAAAATACAGCCACAGCAGAAGAACAGGATTTTCTTGCTCCTCTTCTCAACAGCCTGGGGTGATTTTGATACCACACAGGAGAGAAGTATTCAGTATTTGAGGGAAGATGCTGCAGGAGTGGGAGACAGGGGAGAACTGCTGGATGACAAAGGAAGGAGATGGGGACAATTGGGATGAAAGGCCAGATGGCTTGAAGAGGGAAAGAACTAGGAGCAAGAGGCAGAGAAACCACTAACATGTATCCCAAGGAGGAGAAGGGGATTATATCTGAGACAGAGTGGATGAGAACCAAAGCAGGTAAATGCAGAGGAGACTGGAACAGAACTTGCCTGTTAACCCTGCTGGGATTATGATGAAGTAAAAGAAGTGGCATTGAAGGCAGCAAGCTTGGTGGCATTCATGGGTAGCCCCCAGAGTGTACTTATTTTGTAACTGAGGCCTTGGGCTGCCCGTGCCACCCAAATTAGCTCAAAAGGATGAGAAGTGTGCAGTACTTAAAAAGCTACTAGATCTCCTGGGGAGTCATGTGGGAACCAACATGCTCTTCTGACATCAGATTTTTATTTTTCCCCAGTTTATTTTACATTGTATTTCTATATGCCTCTAAATTTTCAATTGGGAATACCTAATGGAAAGTCTCTCTTCTTACAGGCTTTTCCTGCTTTTGAATTGCGCCACTACTAATAGGTTTGGGGAGTTACTAAGCTCTGCTTTGCATTTCTGTATAGTAATGACAAGTGTAATGCTCTTAATCTGCCTCTTCGCTGATTACACTGAAACTTTTGATTACTTATATTTAATGATCAGAAATGGCAGTTCTGAGAAGCTTCTAATTTGATTCATTTTTCTGAGTAAATAAATTGTATTAAGATGGTGCTAAGTCTGCTAAGTCTCTTTGAAACACGTCTGGAGACTTACAGAATTTCTTAAGTAAGCAAGATGTCACAACACATGTGCTCGTTAATATGAAGTGAAATTTTACCAATAGTGGCACTAGACTAGTTCTGAAGTACTAAAAATAATCTAAATTTGCATACTGTTAATCCGTCTGGAAACGTGCCAGAAATCGTAGAAGTAAAGCATCTCAGTAAGTAGCTTCCCACACCCCTTCAACTCTTCTCTAGCACTGATATAAAACTTTGCAGTATGAATATACCATTAATAGGTGAAAAATAATGAAAATTTATTTTATTATTTGTATTTCATAAACACTTGTCTCTTTATCCCATTACCAGCACTGCAAAATACCATTGCTCAGTAAATTAATGCTGCATATAAAGATGCACGGTTACTTAATAAAGTATATGGAAGAACAGTAAGGGCAATCAGAAAATGTTTTCAAACGTCAATGAAAAGCATAATTTCCAATCTATTAAAAATCTTCTTGGCATTGTTAAAGGAAAAAAAATACGAGCAAGAGATCTGTTAGTATGTTATTTGGAATTAGCAAGGTCATTTGGAAGAAAAGGTAAGGTCTAAGGTACTAACTTCAGACTGAAGCCATGTGTTTTGCTAAAATGTTGCCTGCTGTGTGTCTGAGGATATTTTTGGCCCTGAAAACTTTATGTTACTTAATTTAAACTAATCCTTTAGATAGGTAAATCATTACAGTAAAAAATTCAGGCAGGCATTTCAATCTTGACATTTCAAACTAGGCTGAATATATGAACAGAGAAGCCACTGAGTGGAAAGAAACCAAACCATGACAAATATTTACGTATGAAAGATATGGTATCTTATATAGAATTAGAGAAATCCTGATAGATCAAGTGTTAAATGCTGCATAATTTCTGTAATGCTGAACAATGGAGTGTTTTCAATGTACATAGCTTGTTGTGCTTAGAATCCTCTGTGCTGACACAGAATATACCCCACACAAGGCTAAGGTCTGCTTTCTGTTCTTATTTCTACAGCTGATTGGTTGTCAAGTCACTTAAGATCTCTTTGCTGTGGTTTTTACATGACTAAATGTGGAACAATCACTTTTATCTGCCTCTGGGTATTTGAGATTTGATTAATGTGCTTTGAGGACAACAGATGAAAGTTGCTGTAGAAATATATATCGGATTAGTTTTACTACACATAAACATTAAATTAAAATTAAAATTAGAATCCTCATACCCAAGCTGTACATCTATAATCTCCTCTAGGAAAGTTATGCTTAAAAACCAAAAGGCAGAGAAAAGGAAAATCTTCGACATGCTTGTTCCTGACTGGGTGTTCCTTACATTTCCACAGGGGTGTTGCCAAGGCATGGGGCCAGGCTTACTTTGGAGAAGGCTCTGGCCCCGTGCTGCTGGATGAAGTGCAGTGCACGGGAAATGAACTGTCCATAGAACAGTGTCCAAAAAGCTCCTGGCGAGAACACAACTGTGCCCACAAAGAAGATGCTGGTGTTTCCTGCACACCTCTCACAGGTACTTCAGTTACCAAAAATCACATAGAAAAGCAGTGCCAAATGCAGAGTTCACAGCTCTGGAAAGAAAACCTTCAAAGTCTGCAGATGCACAAAACCCCACAGTAATTAAGTGTTCTGGTAGTATCAACATGAGCCAGCCGTTGGCTACAGATAACAGGTACAGAAAATCTCATTATTCAAAAAAAGGCCCTGGTTCCTCAGTAACATGCCAACTGCCACTTACTCTGCGGGGCA